TCAAAGAAATGAAGAGCGGCTCGTCTTTCTGCGTGTGCCCGCTTACGCCTATCGGGTTTTGAAATACAACTGATTTGACAGTCAAAGTGCATTTATTAAGAAAAAATTAGACTGAGACACATCTTTATTATAATTTCAAGCAAACAAATACCGTAATTGTTTTTAGGTGGTTATTTTGTTCATTCTTTGGAGTTGGCTTGCTGTGACGACCCCTGAAGAAGGAGCAGCTGAAAGAAAGTTACCTTTAATGAATCTGTATCATGACGTAGGTTACTGCTCACTGTCTTTTATCACAAACACTATGCTCTGACCATAGGAACCTTTTCCTCACTGAATGAAAGCTTGTCCTATGTCATACACTGGGCCAGGCTGGGTCGGATCCTGAAATATCCCTCAGAACCTGAGACTACAGCCGTGACAGTCAGGGTTCCTACACAGCCTTTATTTCCATGTCTGGATAAGATTGAAATTAAGAAAACAGTTTAGAACAGCAATAGTGTTTCCATGATATTAGATGTAGCATTTTCTAAAAAATATTTAAAATTTAATATGAATTATTAATTTATTTACTGGTAATTAGTTTATTTTCAGTATAAAGTAAAAAGGGTTTGAAAAGAAAACAGCTCAGACTGTTTTAGACACATTTAGATAATTTCTCGCTGGTTCATAAACGAGTTAATCAACAGAACCGGAGCTGATTAGTGCTTTCGGGCTGAGCGTGACTAATATGGAAAGCAGGAACATCGGTGTAAATTCTTCTGTGACGCTCTCATCAGAGCTGTGAAATCCAGCAGCCTCATTTGTTATTCATGGAGGCTTTCCTGTCAGGAGCCGCTGCTCCCCATGGACCCCTCCGAGAATCTGCCACACAGGTGCTGAACCCAAATTCACAGAAAAGTCAGAGCTATGAAACCGTTCGAGTAAGTTTTCAGCCTAAAGATGAAGCTGACAGCAGCTGCGATGTGTTTATACTGAGTCCATCATTCATTTCCATCAACAGAAACATCAGCCGACTGTAAACTTCAGATCCAACAGTGCTGGTTGTGACTTGACAGTGAACATGTCTGATACATGTCTGTGTGCTCTGCAGGCTGTGGGAGGATGGCTGGAAGCAGAGATACTATAGGACGAAGTTTGATGTGGACGCAACAGACGAAGAGTTCAGGAAGAAGGTGGTCCAGTCCTATGTGGAGGGCCTGTGCTGGGTTCTGCGATACTACTACCAGGTAATGACAAGTCCAATTTATTTATAAAGCACATTTAAAAACAGCTGTTACCAAAGTGCTTGTTTGTTTCTATTGTACAGCACTTTGGTTGGCCTGGTTGCTGTATTAAGTGCTTTATAAATAAATTGGTATGATAGAGTGCCCTGGCAGGCGGGAGGACCGGGACAGAGGGTGGAAACGTTTTTAAAAAAAAAACAATTTATGTATAAAAAATAATGTTTTTTTTTATCAGTGAAGAATGAAAATGAACGGTGCCGGCTTTATCATAAAATCTTGTTTTCACTTTGACTTTATTAAATAATCTGTTAATTAAAGTTAATTCAACTGAAAAATTATAAAAAGACAAAACTATTGGATCTCAGGAATAGTTCCCTCAAATATGTTTAAAGAAGAGATACAGCCTTGAAAAAGGCCAAAAGGATGGACCAGCACAGAAGATCAACATCATCAGGCCAGGACTCTGTGGTCTACACTCATCTCCAGGCCAGCGGTCACTCTTTCAGGGATGAAGATGTTCACATCCTGGACAGAGAGGA